GAATTTTACAGCTGTTCTCATAAATTCTGGAACAACGAAAAATTTCTGATGACCGAATTCAATAAGTTTCCGAGTTCCATCAGAAATTTTTTGTTGTCCCAGAATTTATGAGAACATCTGTAACTTTTCTAAAAAAGCTACTCGGCTGGGTAACGAAAAGCAATTTTATTTGTCTGCATGGCCTAATACTGTATGAAAATAGAAGTTCTGCAGTTTCGGGGTTTCGGATGAGGTTTCGGGTTTCGGATGAGGTTTCGAGTTTCGGATAAGGTTTCGGAAGCTATAATCCGAAACCTGAAAACTTTCGGATTTTGGCATAAAGGGTTTCGGAGCCAACTCTATTCTGAGTTGACTATGACTCATATACCTTGGATACCTCTAATATCTTATGATAGAACTATTTCAAGACCTACGATCATTTAGAATTAGAATTCTATTCACGAGGCTAGAAATATTCACTTTGATGACATGTTAATTAAACTATATGCAAAAACTACAGTATTAAATTCTGAAATTTTGTACTTCCAAGAGACTTTTATTCAGAGCTATGCTGCAAAGAAAGAGATGATGGTATATTTTGAATCATAATGTATTACATGATCTCAAATACAATTGAATTTTTAAAAGCTACATTTATTTTTACTAGATGATCGATTTAAACAAATACTAACATAAAAAGTGCAATTCATTATTTTATAAATAAATTGCCTTGACATATACAGTATATATATATATATATATTGTTTTACATGATGGTTAAAAAAAGACAGATAAACTAATTTCTTCTATCAATATTTATATCATTCTTTAATTTCTCTCTCAATTCTCCTCTTTGAATTTTACCAAACTCATTTTGTGGAATTCTATCAATAAACAATACACCACCTCTTAATCTTTTATACGATGCGACCTTTTCATCCACAAAAGATTGAATTTTCTTCGCTAAAGTTTGAGATTGCTCATGACCATTTTTAATTGTGACATATGCTATAGGAATTTCGGTTGCCTCTTCTTCAGAATAATAACCTATAACTACTGCACCTGATACAGCATCATGTTTGAGCAGAATCGATTCCAGTTCAAAAGGTATCACATGAAAATCCTACAAATTTTATGTTGGTTAAATCTAATGGCATAATATTATCGATATGCAAAATGGTAATTATTATAAACATACTCTGAATTTAATTAACTCTTTTTTTCGGCCAGCAAGAATGAAGTTCCCTTTATAAAAAAAAAAAAAAAAAAGATTATGTAAACATATAAATCTAAATTTTATTTAATACGTAATACAACATACCTTGTTCGTCAATAGATACAATATCTCCTGTGTTAAAAAATCCATCTTTATCAAAAACAGCATTTGTAGCTTTTTTATTATTAAGATAACCCTATTTAAAGTATATAAAATTTTTAGTACAAATAGATAATTATATGCTTAAATATAGTATTAATAGTTATACTACGTACCTTCATAATATTTGGACCGTGAATCCATAATTCTCCGGGTTCATTATACCCTAATTCTAAAATATGAAATGTTAAATTTATATTTATTTGAATTTTAACTTAACATAAATATATATAGTTACCACGGCCATTTTCTGATAATAATTTAGCTTTTATATTTGAACAAAGAATTCCAATTGAACCTATTAAAAGTAGTCGTTTTAGTAAACCATGAAATATAACCTTTTTATATAAGCAAATTATTTAATAAATAATACCTGGAGCTACATTCTCCATTGTATCAGGCTGACGTAGTACCAAACTCGCTTCAGTAAGACCTTTATTATGTCACATAAATAAATAAGGAATAATCATCATTATGATGGAAAAAGGTTAGTGTTCATAGTAATACTTTTTCAGAATAAGGATCAATGAATTACGTTAGTTCAAATGACGTTAGTAAAATTTACCATAAATTTGTAAAACTGGTATTCTAAACATTTCATAAAACTTTTTCGCAAATTTATCACTTAATGGAGATGCTCCACACACAATCGTATCCACACTTGACAAATCAAATTGTTGAGCCAGTGGATCATTAACAAGTTTATGAATAACTGGAGGAACGCCATAAATATGATTAATCCTAAATTTTTGAATTGATTCACATAAGGTTTCCACATTTAAGCCTGAATGAACAATTGCAGTAGCACCCTATATTATTAATGCATAACTATTAATTTAAATTGAAGAGGTGATTACAAACAGAATTAAAAATATAGAATAACATACACGAATTAAGGTCGCGTGAATAACACCAATTAATGCATAACCGTGGCAAAATTGCTATATTTTTAAAGAAATAATTAAAAATTACCCTAAATAACTATGGAAACACATTTAAAAAAGAAATTCTTTTATATAACTTACTGTAACTCCTGTAATAACACTATGTGGTCCAACTTTACTTTCTACTTTCATTAATTGAGCCAAATTAACAGCCAAGTTTGTGTGAGTAAGTTCGATACCTTTTGGCTTTCCGGTTGTTCCAGAACTATAAAGTAAATAAGCAGTCGTTGATTTTGCTTCTTCAGGAGTATAAGAAACCGGTTCAATTTCACGATCACTGATTAAAATAGAACGATAAGGTTTATATCCTTTCATTTCTTCATCACCAAATAATAATACTCTGGAGGCAGGGATTTTTGCGTTGATTGAAGCTTCGATAGCAACTTCAAGACATTCTGGATGCACGATAAAAACAGATGCACCTGAATCGGTTAACTGATTAGATAAATCAGCTGTTTCGAACTTTGGATTAGCCGTCGTTACTGTGCCTCCTTTAGATAGATTTTGTAAGTAATTTAGAATTTAAAACTACAAGAACATTATTAATGTTATGAATTATATAATACCAGCTGCAATCGCTCCCAAGAGTACAATAGGATAATCAAGCTTTACAAAATAATTATATTATTACGTAATATGAATGAATTAACGACTTAACCAATGAAAATATTTTTAATAGATACCTGATTAGGTGAAAATATCGCCAAAACGTCTCCACGTTTAAACTCCAATTTATCTTGTAATCCTGCAGCAAATTTTTTCGATTCATGTTTAAATTCACCAAAAGTATAACTTTTACCAGTAATCGCATCCACGTAAATAACCTTATCATCTGGAATTTTATTTGGATTACTAGTCACATATTGATAAATTCCGACTTGAGGAACTTTTACATCGGGATATTTGGAATTAAAGATCATTTATGTAATTATTTTGTTTTGTTATTATTTTGTAATTATTTTGTAATTATTTTGTTGTAATTATTTTATAATTAGTTGAAATAATTTAACGTTAAAGTTTTCCTGCTATTTATATATAAAATCTTATACGTACGTAATGTAGCGAAGTTATCGTTATATGACAGTATTTCTGTACAAATCTGTGCTTCTGATTGTATGTCCCTTTCGATAATTATTACATAAAGCTTAACTAAATTTACATAATAACTATTAATCAACGTTTGAAAATATATTATTTGAGTGTCGGCAATAGAAAATGCATATACTGTAACAAAAATCGGGACTTCGAAAAATCTTTTTTTTCATTCCCCAGGTGTTATTCATCGTGGGACACCAAATAGGAGTACTTGGACTTCAAAAATTATCTTTATTTAAGCATTGATTTACGTTTAGATTACTTGTACTGATCTTCGGAAACTGCAGTCTGTTACACGAGAGATTATATTTAGAATGTCAAGTACATTTTCTATAAGCAGCCGCTTACCATTTTTAGTAGTTAATTAACATCATTGCTATTACTTAAATACGTTTATTACTTATTTGTCAATAACGGATTTACCCATTTAACCGACATCGCAATTTACTATTAATGTATATAAACTAATAAAACACTAACGCTAACTCTATTTGATGTCGGTTAAATGGACTGTAGGTAAAATGGTGTCGTGAAAGTATGATCCGAACTTAATTTTTCCTATTCAGTTTTATAGGCGTTTTTTGAGGGAATTGCTTGGTGAATTGCGCATCTATAATTCAGCAGTAATATATAAAGTATAGTGTGAAAAATAAAAATAGCGACATAGTAAAATTTTAATATTTTATATTCATACGTATATTTAATAATTAGACTTATCATACTTATGAGCATAAATAGGATCATATGCTAGATGACGATTATTAATAATTACATACGTATATCAAATATGAAAATTTGCGGCAAATTTCGATAGTTATTTTTCCGGTCGGTACAAGATTATACCGAGACAATGCACTAGTCGAAACTTATATTACCGAAAATTGTATTCTTTGTTATTGAAAATTGCCTGTAATTTCGATAGCTATTGTCACAGTTTCCCGTGACACGTAATCCAGGGCTTAGTTAAATTTTTATTATTTATTATTGTGCAGCCTAAAAAGTTACATATTTGTACAATTTACGCATCACTGATTTATCATCTATTTTTTATAGCCTAAAATTGTCCCTAAAAAAAAAAAAGGACACAAAGAAAAGAAAGGTTTAAATTTGATGACGTAAATTATTCGAAAGCGAAAAAATAGTATAATCGTCAATGCTTCAAATAATACCGTTATTGGATAGGGTTAAAAATATGCACGTGGGTATCAAACGGTGACAGGTGATTGGCATGATCTAAGCCAATCACCTGTTGCCGTTTAATATCCACGTGCATATTTTTTAAACCCTATCCAATAACTATAAATTATTTTTATTACTCTTTTTGTTTTTATTTTTTATTTTTTTGTTTGTTTATTTTTTTCATTTAAGTATCATACGTAGAGGTGCAGGTGAATTGCCGTAACATAATAAAGTTACGGCAAAAATGTCATACCTCATTAGAATAATTACATATTACAAAATTAGTTACAATAAAAGTTACAGCATCATTGGGACGATTCGCCTGCACCACTAATCATACGATAGACATCAGGAGATATAGTCCTGCGATAGAAGGAAATTGGCTATTGTTGACCAGGATTGTTAGATTAAGTAATTATTGGCATGCAAAGAACCATAGTAATCATGGCTTGCGGAAAGGTGTAGGTATATGGGAGGCTTTTCTTAGACATTGTTGTTCGCAGCCCGCACAACGCTCGTTGTGGGTACAAAGAGCAGCGAAAGGGGTGTGACGCAGTAGATTATACTAGGAAAACGGGATCCATTGGGTTCCGGAGCGCCGCTTCGTATTCGCAAACAAAATTTCAAAGTTGTTAATACAATATATTTATCTATATGTTGATGAAATCGTAAAGCTTTTAACTTTTGTGATATTAAGTTCTTAGAGGTTAAATAGGTTAATATGATGTAATTATATCATGATTCATTATGTAAAGCATTTTTTCTTACATATTAAATCACAAAAATTTAAATAGTTAGTTCTCATTATATCTAAATTTTCAAAGCGACTTGTAATCTGGCAAAGAAAACATACAAAGCAATTTGAAATTTAAAAATCATGCTCATTTATAAAGTTTCTTAAAAGATGATATAGCCAAATTATGAAAATAAATTAATTAAATTTATATAGTCTTATTATGCGTGAAATATTAATTAAAAATTGTGCTAATATCTAGAAGACGTTTCTCTTCCAATATTTGTCCTTGCACTCTTGTGCATTTTTTGATGCGCTGGATGCAAGACGTATTTCTCGCTCTTCAGCTGTTTCCGCATGTCTCTTTTTTTTCCATTGGTTTCATCTATTCAAGATATACTTCTCGCTCATCAGCAGTTTCTGTATCTTCTCTTTTTTGTTTTGGATCACAATCTTGTTCATTTTGATCATTTATATCAGTAGTTTCGGTATTAATTTTAAGAGCGAAAGTTAATTCATTTTGATCATTTATATCAGTAATTTCGATATTCATTTTAAGAGCGAAAGTTAATAAGAAACACTAATTTTTAAAAAAGTGTTTTTTTTAATTGTATACTTTTATGCAAAACGGATCAATAACATTATCAGTATGCTTATCATTATTGTTTACTTTTATAATTTAAAAGCAGGGATATTAATCGACTTATTTAACTGATTGTTTATTATAATAAATATATGGCAGGTCGATTCGATTAATGTATCTACTTAAAGTACGATGTTTTGACACATAAAAATTTGACATATTCAATTATGCCATCGCTAGTTGTGATGCTTACTAATTTTATTATTATTACTAATTTTATTATTATTACTATTATTATTATTATTATTGTTATTGTTATTATTTTTAAACTGTAGAAAATAAAAAATTTTGTATAAATTGTATATATCAATTGAAAGAATAATATGTCATATTCAATAAAAGTTAAATATTAAATAATATGTCTACATATATTGCTAAAAGTTAATTGATTATTTGCTGATTAAATTTTGCTATTGCATTTTTAACCGAAGTCAACCCAAACAGAATTTTTCCTTCCTATTGTCTGGACTTAAGTTCCTCCGCTCTGCTCCGGAAATGAATTCGAAATGTATTTGAAGCCTGAATTTTCGCGTTAATAAAGTTTCCTCAGACTTTGATGTCTTTAATGAATTGGAAATAAGAATCGAATTCTCAATTGATTATACGAATTTTATAATGGTAGTTTATTTAAAACTTATTCTAATTCTGTAATTCCAATTATACGGACTCTATAATACAGCCGCTCTCCCAAACAATAGTAACACTATAATTGCCGAAATTTGATCACAAAATTCATCCTAATTTGCAAATCAGCTGTAATCAGATGTAATATTTTTCAATTTAATACTACCGAAATATCTTAATAAAGTGATGATATCACTCCTCGCAATTTTCAAATAATTAAAGGTTACTAACGTAAAATTTGTATTTCCTTCTGACTTGCAACCATTTCTTACAACTATGGATTTTGTTGATTATTAACTGACCGAGTTATACCAGTAACGGAGTGATATGTAATATCACGAAGAGTATACAAGGTACGGAGTGATGCAATCACAAAGTGTATGGTTTATATGCTGTTTGAAGTGGTATCCGCCCGCAAAATCTTAAGTTTGATTGGTCACATGACTTATTCGTCAAATTTTGTTTATTTTTCACACATGAATTCATCACGCCTTAAATTTTATAATAGTACTGTAGTATGGCATAGATCGACAAAATATCATATGCACGCAAATACTTAATTATAAGGTATCTACGCGACGTTAGGGTGGGGCCTCAACTAATAAAATCAAACATAGTCGGGGTAATATATGAAGATCATTAATTTCGGATTTATT